AAAAAAGTGTCATTAATAAAGTCATATCTCATGGGCAGGAAGTTTGAAGTATCACAGTCTGAAGAACAGGATAGGAATTTGGCTCTTCCCCTTAAGCTATGTGACACTGGACATGTTATTTAGCTTCTCAAGAGCCTTAATGATATAACTTTAAAATGAGTACGACAGGAGTAATAATACCAAACACAGGTCATCAGAGGGTGAAGTGAGGCTCAAATGTAATGATGTATATGAAAGTGGTTCAGCCTGTAATCCCGTGCTTTGGGAGGCTGCGGTGAGTGGATTGCCTGAGTCCGCGGGTTCGAGACCTGCCTGGGCAACTTGATGAGACCTCACCTCTATAATAAATCAAAAAATTAGCTGGACGTGGTAGCACACGCCTGTAGTTCCAGCTATTTGGAAGGCTGAGGCGGAAGGATTGCCGGAGCCCAGCAGGTCGAGGCTGCGGTGGCCGGGAGTGGCCACTGCACTCCAGTCTGGGTGAAACTCCAACTCAAAAAAAAAAAGAGGAAGTGTTTCAGTTAGCACTTTAGTAACTTTAACAATACTTTCTCTTTCAGTCCCTACAAAGACAAGATTCTGTGGAATTTGACACACTCCAATATAAAGAGAATTGTCTAATCTAGTGTCCTTGAAAAAGAGCTACTTTTACATCCTTTTCATGTTCTGAGTTAGTTATCAAACCGGATTTAGACTTAGGTCACCAGTAGGTATTTTATTGACTGAAGAAGAAGAATTCAGTCGAGAGCATTTCAACTGAGTTGGCATGTAATATCAAGAAAAACACTGTTGCTGCTCTACTCCCCTCAGCCCGCCTGGAGTGGGAAGATGGAAAGTCTTCCCAATGGAGCTGCTTAGCAGTCTTCACCTCCCAGGGAGCCTGGCTGAAACCTGAAAAGCCCTTACTGCACCACGTCAGGGGTCTAAAGCACCGATAACACCACCGGCCACCCACTCACAGCAGAGACAGGATCTTGAACAATCCCAGACAGCTCAGCCTCCAGGGGGGCCTAGAGCTGCGGCTAAAATTAATTCCTCATGTACCAGTCACCTTTCACCTCCTCTCCCTTGTCCTCACCACTGCATTGTGTAGAGGCAGCAATCAGTGACTTTTATAAGAAACATTTGTCAGTGCCTGGATGATGGCTTTGGGCTGGTTCTTCTTTTATTTCCCTTCCCTGTTTCTCAGCTTTTCTATTTTCAGGTTCAAAGAAAGAAGTTGCTTTTGAGTTCTAACTCCCAGAATTAAGTGATATAAGATTCCAATTGCTGTAGAGCTATAATTCATTCAGTATCCTTCCTGATTCACAAAGAGCCAATGCTACATGCCCTGTGTCCAGCTGGGTTCTAAATATTTCACAGTGGGATGTTTTGGTAGAGCCCCCATGAAAGCCTACAAATGCACATGAGAAGATTCTGGAGTTGACCCATTCATCCTGGTACACAATTGACTTATTCAGACCTGGTGTGCAGGAATGATTGCCTGAGAACTTTCCCTGAGAATGAAATAACTTCAGGGAATATTTGGGAGGAACAACTCTATATTTCCATACTGTTGAAGCATTAGCAATAAGTGAGTAGCAAGACTGAACTCTTCCTGATGCTTGCTAATTTACTATTATCAATAAAGTATGACTTGAAGATATGGGGACACATCGTTTTTGTGTAAACTGTATCAAGATTGTCTCACCGGGTTGGTGACTTTGTTCCTGGAAACAAAGATAGAGGGGGGAATTTTGATCTTATTAGATCTTATTATTTAAAATAAATTATTAAAAATTGCCAGATTATTGTAATGATACCTTAGATTAGTTAAACCAATACTTTCAATAGCACAGAGAAGGAGGCAGGAGAGAAAATAAGGTATCCAAGGCTCAAAAGGTAGGAAGTCTTGGCAGGGTGGAGTGTAAAACTCAAATACTGAATTTGGTCTAGTACATCACACTGCTTTTTAATCTAGGCTGAAAGGTAAGGTAATAGCTTCTTTAAATACTCAGTATTCTTTCAACTGATTAGGAGAGCACATTGCCACTGTTGTAAGAACAGCTTGAACTCATTGATGCTAATACAACTTTTATTTTTCTTTAATGAGGATTTTTGACTCCACATTTCACATTAACGACCTTTGTGTGATTATTGGAAGTGACCTTTAAAATATGACACTTCCTGAAGGAAATAAGTAAATCTAAGATAACACATGAAGAAAAATGCTCATTTCTAGCTATGCATTTTTCAAAACATCCCCCAAGTTTTTGCAGGAGCAAGAGTGGAAATTGTGCCCAACTGGGAACCAAAGAACCTGGTCGTCTTTCTTCCTGCATTCACTGTGACCTTAGAAAAGGCAAAACATCTCCTTGGGTCTCTTTTTAATTGAAATGGAGATCAAAATATCTATCCTACCCAATTTACAGGGTATTTAATTGTCAAAATAAAGTTATCTTCATTTACAAATATGTTGCCATTTAAAATGTTACCCAAATGTTTGGTAATCCTCACAGCTAACATCTATTGAGTGTTGACTTAATCATCCCAGTAGTATATTCAGCATTTTACATGTGTTCAGTTCACTTAATCTTCACATTGACCCAACAAGTATTATATTTGCCTCGTCTTCCAGACTAGGAAACAGAGGCTCAGAGAGGTTCAATAACTTGTCTACGGTTTGGAACTGAACCACCAAATAGGAAGAATAAACACCTACTTAGATAATTAACAAAACAAAGAAAATAGAAAATAAAAGTCTAGGAAGACAAAATCTGATTTTTTTTTAAAGCTTTATAGAAATCATCAGAGGAGAAAACTCAGGGCTGCTAGAAATTCTTACACCTATTTTATGGTTAGATGTTATTGTATTTTGAATTACATACGGGGAAAAGCACCAAATATTTCAGTGCCTAGGGCATTTCAAGGTCTTAATCTGACTGCCTTAAACTCACAGCTGATGAAAACAAGATCCCAACTACAGCCAGTTGACTCCAAGGCCCATACTTAGAACTGCTATACCCTGTCCAATAATACTAACACGTATTATTACTAAATAACAGTTACTAGTGATAATAATAGTTTTCAGGACAAGCAATACCATTAAAGAAAGGTTTATTCTGTTTTGAAAACATATAGAAAGAAACCCATAATTTGGAACTAAAAACAGAGAGACAGGAGCACAGCAAGGGTTCTCACTTTTCTTACATACCTGTGGCTTTAAAATGACCATTAAAGAGCCTTCTCATTGCTGGCAGCAAACTTGTATATTGGCTCAAGACAAGTGGTTAACGTCAATTTAGAAATCTTTGGAATTCCCACTAGAAACACAACAAACCCCACAGCTGCTCTAGGAGGGCCAATGATAATATGCATGGAGAGAGAGATTGATTTTTTTTTTTATCCTATGCGCCAATGAACAGTTTTTAAGATCTTGGGCTATTTTGATTCATCTCACCCTCTCCTCCTAACCCTCAGGGCTTAAGCAAAAAGCATTAAAAATTAGGTCTATTAGTGTGTAGTAAACTTGGAGGATGATAAGAATTTACAGCAGCTGCTGACACCTCTGGCTTTCTTCAAACACTCAAAGATAACTTCATACGGTCATTTTTGTGCCTTAATCTGAAAAATTCTAAGAGATCCCCAGCAACAGCTGTGCTGGCTGTTTTATGGAAACTGACATGGTAGATGAATGGGTGTGTGGGGTGTTTTGGCTTCAATACTTTGGGGATCTTGCATGCTGTTTGTGGAATTCTCACAATTCTTAAACCAGACATAGGGGGGATTCTGGCTATTAGGAAACAGCCCAGCAGCACAGTTGCCTCTGATTGACTTTTAAAGAAAATTAACATTGAGTTAAGCATGAAGAAATAATCACAGCCCTTAAGGTATTCAAAAATCTTGGACCACAAATAGGCAAATTTGCTTTGCATATTTTTCTCAAGCATGATACTTATTAGCTAAATGGCTGTTGGACTTCTGAAAATGTGCTTTAAATCTTTGATGTTTCTGTGCCCACCTCACTATAGAGGAAGTTAGAGGAGTGTGGTGAAAAAACAGTGAGGAGTTCGGTACATAGGCAAGACAGATGTAGCATCATGTCCACATTCATGAACAATGCAATATTCTGACAATTCTGTTGCATGCATCAGGTGCCAATGCAATTTTGGAGCAAAAGCCCTTTGCGAACGTGTTTTTCCTTCCGATTCTGGCACATTCATGTTCAGGGCTCAGGACTCTTTTCCTGGGAGAAGCGAGAGATGAGAGGGAAAGCTAAGGGCTTATTTGAGCAATCTCTTTTAAAGAAGGTAACCTTTTCTCCCATTGTCCTTGATTCAGCCATCTGGCTCTGGGAATCTGTTGCTGAATGCTTCTTGACTATAAAATTTAAACAGATGATTATCCCTGTCTTTCCCATGCCAACATGCTTGCTATTAAAATGACTACCAATCTCTGAACATCAAGGCAGGCTCAGTGTAAGGGAGAGAAAAAAAATGGGGAAAGTCAACCTTAAGATAAATAAAATTCCACCCTTAGTCTTTCATTGTTACTCTGACTTAATGTTCATCAACTCAAGTTTAGTAGACTTTCTATCACAATCTCTCTGTCATCCCTGGCCATCTATACCTTAGTCACACCTGACTAAATGGCACCACCAAGATCAGATCTCAAACTGATTGTCTCATGATTATCAACAATAGTTTGGGACAGAGCTGAAGCCCTTCCTCTCCATTTGCAGAGACCCGGAAAACCTACAATTATTGTCTTTGGTATGAGCCAGTCAGGCAGTATCAGGCAATGGTTGACAAAGAGTGTTCAGTGCATAGTTAGTAAGTCTCCAGAAGCTCCCTATATTGGATCAAGTCCTAAAGAAATGACTTATCTTCTTACACAAAACATGTGAATGTAAGCTTCACTCTGTGTTTCATGATTTGGTGGCAGTCATGAGAAAAAGCACCATTGAGAGGTGAGAATGGGAGAGTGAGTGACAGTATGACCACTGAGAGCACAACATGTACCTGTGGGATAATGTTCGTTCACTGGCCAGTTGTCGACCTGCAGCGTGGCATTGCCGCCGTTCCTGGTGAAGCGCACTACATGGTATTTACCATCATTCACGGGGGTTCTCTCTTCTTTGATGGAAATGTCAACTGTGCCAATATTGAAGACAACTCCAATTTTCCCCTGTTCCTGTAATAAAGAAACACAAAAGGCATAGTTATCACCAGCCACAAGGATCTCTCCCTTTAAAGTTGATCCTCCAACTAGCAATAAACCTGTAGGTGCCCAGAGGGAGCTGTCAGCATGAAGATAATAATAGTATTCTATATTTCTCCATGGGCTTTCATCCTGAACATAAAAACCAATAGAATAAAGCCACCCAAATTGCTTTCACAGGCTGCATCACACAGGTTACATCATTCTATTGCCCTCAACGGGTATCAAGCCTGGAACTACATAACAATGACACAATGACAATGCAAAGTTCATTTCTGTGAAGTGAACTAGGCCTGTTTTCTAAGAGAGGCTAATAAAAGCTTTCAATCACTTCTCAAATCAGATTTACAATTATAAAGAAAATATGAGCGTGTTTGCTCATTTGGGGGCAATAAAGGCAAAGGGAAGGGACAGAATGGTTAGGAGCCTATGTCAGAAGAGCTGGTAGTATATAGAATAATGCCTTGTGATATTTTCCACAGATTCAAATCACATAGAAATATACTCTCCTAGCCTGGGCAACATAGCAAGACCCCATCTCTACAAAAAATAAAAATTAGCTGGGCGTAGAAATACATGCTTGTAGCTCTAGCTACTCAGGAAGCTGAGGCAGAAGGATAGCTTGATGTTGTAGTGAGCTATGATCGCACCACTAGACTCCAGCCTGGCTGACAGAGAAAGGCCCTGTCTCAAAAAATAAAGGAATAAATAAAAAGAGGTATCCTTAGCAGAGTCCAGTGAAATTGAGCTGGGGTTTTCAGAATAAGTTGGCAGCCACAATTCTCATACTTACAGACCTAGTTCTCAGATTAATCCAAAGAGAGATGCAATATTCCATGTGGTAGCTTATACAAAACTGCAGAAGAGAAACCCTGTGGCCACAAAAGACTTGTAGAGAGGGAAATTGTAATGAATTCTAAAAGAGTAACACTATGGCAATAAAGAGAATAATTATGGAGATGGTGATGGTGATGACGTCATCTATCTCCCAGGGAGTGTACAAGAACAGTGAAGCTTATATAATAATTTTATGCTTCTTCTCTAATAATTGTTTACAACTAAGAGTTGGAGTAATTCACAATAAGATATAAAATAAAAGTAACCTTACTGATCAAATATAATCAGTCTCTCTTCTTGGAAAGGCATCACAGCATTGCAGGGTGTAGGAGGGACATGTGACAGGGAGACATCTTTCTCAATTTCTCTGGTTGCCTGACCTATTGGCAATAGTTTTTGCATTCAAGGATAATAAAATTTAGTTGTAATTCCTACATTCTACAAGACTGAGTCATATTATTTGCTTGCTAGCCTTTATTACCCACTATTTCCTTATTCAAGAAAAAGTAGAAGGAGGAGAAGAAAAATAAAGAGGAAAAGGAAGATAGGAGGAGGAGGAAGAGGGGAAGAAGAAGAATATTTTTGAAAGTCTAGAATCCATATAAATAAGATATAGGTAAGATTTCACTGAATCTCAGGTTTTGTTGTTTTATTCGTCCATCCATTCATTTATTAATTAAATCCATAAATACAATACTTATTAAGTACCCACTATGCTTACAAGTTAACACGGTAAGATTTCTGGTGGGACACACATTGTTTTATATATAGTTTGGTACACTTTACTTATTTTTCCAAAAGGATAGATTTTCTCCAGATTGCCATTTATCATTTAGTATGTAAAATCATCTTGTACTTAATAATGTACAAGTACCCAGAAGTCTTGATCTTAGGAGGGAGGAATAAAGACTGATCAACAAAGGATGCCATCAGTATTCAGGAACGCTGGGATACACAGTGCACATAATTCTTTTATTTGGGCCCTGATAGCATACTATTAATGGTAAGATGATGTTTGTAGTCCTCATGTTCTGTTCTCTGGGAAAAGTGATTCAAGTACCTCCCCAAATAATGATGAAACACACTCATGATTTCTTAAATCTCTGTTTATTGGGACCACTATGTTCTCAGTTTTGTTTTGTTTCATCTGTACATCTCCAAACTGAGTACCTAACATTAAAATATGATGCAAGGATAAATAAACCCAATTATGGGTTCTTTTTGTACCTTTCAAGCCAATAATTGATACTATTACCCATTGTATTCTTTCTTATTGATTCTCAACAAATTCAGAAATGGCAACATGACTTTTCTGCTTTCTCTTAGAGAATCGGTATTTATTTCTAAGAATGTGTGTGTGTGTGTGCGCGCGCGCGCGCGCTTGTGTGGTGGGTGCGCACATGGACATGCACACGCATGCGTGTTTATGTATGCTGGTGCCCAATCACCCTCATGCCTAAATAAACAAGGTTATCACAACCTAAGTCCCAACCTGCTTTGCAGAATGAAAGGACTGGAGGAATTCAGGAACCATGACCGCAGACACCATTACTCCTTGCCCACCCCACAGATGTGGGCTGTTTATTGCACCACTGTTCTTCAATGAGAAACCAGTACATAAATCCTGGATGCATGGAAAGGACTGCTGGTGATTCAATTCACCTCTGAGTCACTAATTAATCATGGAGGGACAACAGTTTCAGGGGGAGCAAAGAGACCTTTAAACCAGCATTTTGCAGCCTTTCAGTGACAGCAGTGGCAAAGCACTGTTCGGGCTCAGTGAGTTGGCTGATCAGCAAGATATATTCTTGGGCAGATTTTCTGCAAGATCCATATGAGATTCAGGAGAAGGAAAGATGTAATCTCTGCCAGAATAAATATTTGGTCCTTATCTCAGGCGCCACACATTTGCCATTGTAATGACTGTTTCGGAGAGATCTTCTTAATCCTGTTAGCCTGCTGCCAAAGTCAGGGGAGACCCTTACCCAGATGTTTCATTTTGCTTCCCGCAGTGGTAAATGTGGCTGTGCTAGACCTCAGATGTGGCCCCTGTATTCACAGTAATAAGATTTCATCACTGCCACCTCCTTGTCATTTGTCATGGGACCACATTGGCATTATAATCTGTGGCTAACTGCCTTGTTTCAGTTCATTATAAGTCACAGAAGCCTTGTGGCAAACACCCATATAGTTACCCAAGCTTGAATCTATCATGTTCAGCTGCTATGAAAATCAACTCTGTTGGCGCATGTGTCCAGAGATGAGATGTGAAGAAGAAAAAGCATTAGCTTCGGAGTCAGCCCTGACTGACCTTGGGCAAGTTACTTAACTTTCCTGAACACATTTCTTCAAAATACTCTATGGGGACAGGATACTGGCTTTATAGACTTTATAGGGTTATCATAAGGATAAAATAATATGAACATGACAGTGCCTTATAAGTAATAAAACATTATACTGTATAAATATAAGAGATAAATGAGATCAAGAGAAAGAACCATCCAATCATTCGATCATATAGAACGCTGTGATTACTGGAGAAGTTAATTGGTTCAATAGAATAAACATGGGTTTTACCATAGCACGGTTCAATAATTACTGGCTTTTAAAGCTGTATAACTTTGGTCTGATTATTTAGCTTCTAATTTCTCTTCTTTACAGGGATGTATGGAGGGAAGCAGAGGCCAGCTGTCACCTCTGAAACTCCTGGTAAGGATTGTATGAAAGCACAGTGCACCTGGCCCATGGAGCACATATTTTTGACCTCAGTACATGCCAGTCTTTTTTTCCCTTTCTTTCCCTCATAAGTGTAATTGAAAGTAGTGGCATGAACTAAGGACTGGTTGTTTTGATGGGCACTGTCCTTAAGATACATTGTGAAAATAAATGTAAATTTTAGCAAACAATATCTTTAAAAATTTATGGCTGGGCATGGTGGCTCATGCCTATACTCCCAGCACTTTGGGAGGCTGAGGTGAGAGGATTGCCTGACCCCATGGGTTCCAGACCAGCCTGGGCAACTTGGTGAGTCCTCATCACTACAAAAAAAAGAAAAATTAGCCAGGTGTGGTGACACATGCCTGTAGTCCCAGCTACATGAAAGGCAGAGGTGGAAGGGTCACCTGAGCCTAGCAGGTCGAGGCTGTGGTGACCATGAGCATGCCACTACACTCCAGCCTAGGCGATAGGATAAGACTCCAACTCAAAAAAAAAAAAAAAAAATTATGCTATCACAATGTAGCAGCTCTCCTTCTGCATTCTTCAGTGCCTTTTATAAGCCTCTCTAAGACAAGCAAAGTGTAGCTGCAAAACAGCATGGCTATAAATCTTAATAACTCCACACCCATCATTACTAAAGTTGCTTCCAAGACAATCACTCCCATCTATGTTCTTCCTTGATATTAAAAACAAAGACAAGTGGTAAATCAGAAGACATTACCAAGGAATCCTCAAGTGCATTAGGAAAAAAACTGAGCAGTACAGAAAACAGCTGTCCTTAAATAGCCAGTAAGTCATTCTTCTTCAATAATGACTGTTTATGAGCCCACCTGGTTCCCCAAATTAGTCCGGCTCCAGCTTGCAGATCCTCAATCAGCCACATTGCAGTTACTGCTGCTGAGGTGACCCACGAGATGCTACCAACAGCCCGGTCAGACTTCCGGAGCAGGAATGCACAGAGGTAAAAAAAACTCCTCAGGAATAAAGACCTCCCTGAAGGCGATCTCTTCATTCATACCAAAGTGTCCCCGGGGGAAAGCAGAACGTACCATCTGCTATTTTAGAAAATTGCAGCTGATAGAAACAGAGCTGGGATTTTCAACAGCATGCCAGGGAGATGTGCAGTGGAAGCAGTTCTCAGTGTCTTAACTGCTAGGCTTCCCATAAAATTTGCTAGCTCAGTGCTAGGCAATAACACTAAGAAGCAACATGCAAATGATGTTTCCTGTGGCCCAGCCCTGGGGAGGCCTTCCCTACTCATTTCAAAGTCTGGTTCATAGTAAAGTAGTAAGTGACACTACTTACCACATTTTCCTAGTACTACCGCACTATGGGCTCATACAAAGAGAGATCTTCTGGACCTCCTTGTGGGGTGGGGGATGGGGGAGCAAAAGACCAGTGCTAACTAATGAATGCGT